TCACCAAGGAGGAGTACGACGAGTCCGGCCCCGGCATTGTCCACCGCAAGTGCTTCTAAATTGCTAAAAATAATGTAACTGGCCTATTTTTATCCCGAATCTTTCCTTTTATTCATGACATCTGTTCAGATGTTTTGGGATATAGTATTGAATTATCAATAAAACGTTCCTTAAATGATACACCGAAATATTATTTGTTTCCTTCTATGTATGTGTGTGTTTATGGGTATGTGTATGTGTGTGTGTGTTTGTGTGTGTGTGTGTGTGTGTGTGTTAAACAACGCCGAAGTCTCTAGTCACTTACCCGGAGACTAGTATACAGTACATAACCTAGTCACTTAATATTTTCAATGCACATTTCAAATTTCTTTAGTTATGAGTTTCTTTTATAAATAACTTCAATGCCACATAAATAGAGTTATATGGGTCAGGAGGATGTCTTTTACTGTCACCGGCGACATAACACAGAAGTCCCTCCAAGAAGTGTTTACGTTAACACATCAGGCAGTAATTGCTTGGCACACGAACACACAAACTACCATGATGACAAAAAAGCACATGACCGTTGATTGGGATATTAGAGAAGAAAGAGGAGGAATGTGAAGGAAGAAGAGGAGAAGTAAAAGGAGAAAATTAAATCAAGGAAAAGGAAAAGGTATTAGAGAAAAGGAGATGTCACTAAAGAGGGAAGATTAAAAGAAAGGAAGACGTGAGGGCTAAAGGAAAAAAAATTATTGAACCTTTAGTGAATGTTTGCTCGGCACATTTTCACCCGTAATATTCATGGGACTTCATAAAGGTTTCACTGTACACCCAGTTAATAACAGTTACAATGAGTGATAAAAAGTATACTTTAATAACAGTACAAGTTGTACCAGACTTGGGGTAAAAATCTTTACTGTATCAACCTGTGGCTGCACAGTCGCAGTCAAAAGTAATCATCCACCCCACATGCGTGGTCTTAGAATTATCCTTAACACCTGTAGAAGGTGGTAAAGATGGTGGATGTAGCTTGACGTTGACGGCCTTAATGACCCTGGCATTTGATAGGCCTAAAGCCCAAACAACCAACCAGGAGGGCGGGTGTCCGGGGAGGTGAAAGTGATGTGTCATATGCACTTAACTTTCCCTTAGTTATCTATGCCTTTACTTGAGGCTCTGGGGAGGAATACAAGTAAGCCTTTGACAGGTAATGTGTCATTAGGCTACATAAGGCGTCTAGCTGATACAACAACATAAGAGAGGAGGGGACTTGGCTTGCTCACCACCAGTAACACTGAACTAGGATGTTACTTGATCACTTCCACCTCTCGCCACTACCGTTCTTGAGGAAAACAAACAATATTTTTAATTTATAAAAAAATAAGAAGGAATTATTGGATAGAATCTGACTTTTCCACCTTGTATAGTGTTTATTTGTTTATTAGAGTTGTAAATATCAATGCGAGGTGATGTGTTGGTAGCTGCAATGGTGTTAGGCCTCTGCTCCACACCCAGCCCAGGATGGACGCTAAAGAATATCGATTGACGAGTCACGGGCAAAATATTGGTTTGCATGCGGCTGGCTACAACGTGTCAGAAATTACAAGGGAGGTTGGGATCACTTTAAGACGTTGGTTAACCCACTGGGAGGAGTCTGAGAACGTGTGAAACCGGCTGCCGTGAGTATTTTTGATGGATATTGGACAGGGTATTGAGATTCTCTACCACCTGTGTTGGTAAATATTAATAATAAATGTGATTTCCATTCTCGTATTCAATATTTCGCCTCATATCAACATTATCATAAATATATAACTACCTCATCTATTATTCTTTCAAGCAAGTTGACCTAAGATAAAATAGTAAAAACAAACTTACATACTCCTTCACTTCCTCCTCATACACGATACATTTTTATTCGGCAGCAAGTTATACAGTAGTTAATTATGGTAGAATTTTTATTACCTCTCAAAGTGTGACAATTTTGATACAATTTACAGACCAGTGACATTTACCTAAGCAATGGCAATTTGACGTTGTTTAGATTCTACACAAGACTCTACAGGGGTAATGAACAAACCTGAAATCATAAACACGAAATATTTTTTTATCTGAATTAACAGTAACTCTTTTTTATCATAACTAACTATAAAAATGATTATTTTGGTAAATCATAGACTTGTGGGCGTCTGTAAGTTGGTAACGTGTCGAATTGTTTTTACGAGTAACATAAATAGTCAGCTGGTCTTACCACAACAACAGCCAATAATCATAAATAATGTGTAAAAAAGTGTTTCTGGTCTTATTAGATAATGAGTATATATATTTGAATTACTTTCAATCAGAGGTAATACAAATTATAAAAACACAATTCCTCAACTACTAATTTGATATATAATGATAAAGTTTGGATTAAATATCAATTATCATAAAAATGTATGAATAAAACTACCACTATTGTATCTATCCCCCTATGATGGGAGACACGGTATTAGGTTTCAGAGCTGATAGTTTAGAATTATACCTGTACATGCACCTTGATGTTCAGATGTTATCTTGACAAAACTTAGACTGGTATTTTTAATTTCCGGACCAAACAAACTTCTTTCCGAAATTGATTTGGCAAACCCGATACTATATATGCACCTTTAAAAACCTAACTATAATTTATAACTTTTTTTCAAGAAATCAGACATTTTGTAGATTGTAATCTAAAAAGCTATAATATTTACAACATGTCTTCAATGACCTGGCAGTATTACAACCTGTCTCGAAATATCTAACAATTGTTCAAAGTTATGAAGATTAAATATTACTAAACTGTAACTTTTATAACAATCAATCAATCAATGTTTTCTCACACCAGCTGATGAGTATGGCAGTATCTCCTCTGTCCTTTTAAGTCGAGAAATTCTTACCAATTAAATATAACTTATAAGACCCAGAGTGATGATGATGAACCACCTCCTTGCCTATCATGATCCTTATGACTGCTGTATAGACTGGAGGTGCTCACAGTGTCAACACCACAAAACCTTAAACAAATACAGAGTCGTCTTACATGACCGGTACTAATGAAACCAGGAATAGATTTTTGGGTTCACTGTATTTATAGAGAGTAAATCTTACGATGTATTTATATTCGTGTGATCAATCAGCCAGCCCAGCCTCATACTGCTGAGAAAGATTAAGATTTTTACTCTGTATCACGGAACAAGAGAGAGGTATATAAGAGGGGTGAAGCTCAGTCCAGCCTTAGTGTACTTCTGGCTCAGGATACCTCCAGCTTGTGTACGTGGCTGTGTGGTGACTCTGTGAACTAACTTGTGACTTTACAATAACTGGGAAGTGTACTGTAGACTTATGTGCAGTACTTCTACTCAAATATCTTTGTACAATTAGTCAAAAACGTTATTCGCATGAAGAAAAATCATTACTATGTTTATAATATATTCTTAAATCATCTAGCTGGCCAATACATTTCATCTTCATTATTATTAACAGAACCTCGATACTGAAAAACCGTGGTCACTCTTAGGCCAAGTGTACCAGGAATACAAATGTACATCTCTTTGCCGAGACACTGGTGTTCAGCACGTCACGTTACGCTCAAGTGAAAATTAGTTGTCCACTTATCTATTCATAATATAACGGCTTCTCTAATAATGTCCGTATTAGTCATATAGACAATTTGTTTAGTGCACTTCCCTAGGAATCTTCCTCGTGGTTATGTTAGGCTCTGTGGGTACAATCCATTTTAAGCTTAAACATAACCAACTCACTTATTTTTCTTGTATTACTAAAGTTACGTGGACATTAATGTATATATGGTGAAATTACACTTATTTCATTTAACCACTTGTGTACGAGGTCTCCTCTCTCCTGAATATAGTCGTTTGGTGTTAGTCAAATATAATATCAAAAGTGTCGTCCCGTAGTGAAGGGGTGAGTGGAGATAGTCTACTAAACCGACTTTCACAGTGTTAACTTAACTGATTTCTCGGGGCTTGATTTTTGTATTGGAGTTGATAAAAAAAATGCATTCGCTTACACACACATTTCTTTTCATATCTAATCCAAGGCGCCACCTATGAAATACTCCTTACTGTAGTCTAACCAGAACTACTTGGCAATGTGTGGCGTCGACCAGCTCAGTGGCGTCATGACAAGGAACAAAACACTGAACTCGTATGACCATTTTCCACTCACCCAAATTATATAGACTGTACCTAACACTTCTCATAAACTAATGATATTATATAAGCAGAGAAAAGGATCTAAATATATGAAATAATATCATTAATTACTAACAACTTCTCCGAGACGGTTATGGAAGTAGGTTGGGTGCTGGTGTGAGAGGAACCACAACCTCAGGGACCAGGTGTCTAAGATATTGTTGGCATCTTCTCTATATTATCATGAGCCTCTTTAAGACGCTTGTAATTACGTCATAGCCGCCATTATTATGATTTGTATCTCATCAGAACAAGAGAGTGACTCGTGTTAGTCTAGGAACGATGGCTGATAAGTGTCTCGGAGCCTTAGGAAGTCAAGGTAGATTGATCCAAAGATTAAAATTTCGCCTGGTCACGTGATTGATCGATTAACTATGCGTGGGATTAAATAACTAACATTATTTTACTTAGAAATGATACATCAACAGGTGAACATAAACTTAAATGAAGGTAATCAATAGAGTAACTTAAAATTAGGTTTAATGAAATGAGGAAAATTTAATTGGCTTCTCGGCTAACTCCTGTTATATTTTTCACTAAGATTCTCGAAAATTTGACTCATAAGCCATAATAATATACGGTATGAAAACACTGATAAAGATAATTTTATATATCATTAACAATATATTTACAATCCATAAAATATGCATAAAAACCCAGGTTGAGAAATAAGTCATGATCTCCCTTATTATTTCTCCGCAGGCATTCTCCGTCCCCATCAGTGGACGCATCTACAGCTCAGAAGATGAAATCATGTTCAGCTGTATGTACGTAGCCATCCAGGCCGTACTGTCCCTGTACGCCTCTGGTCGTACCACAGGTATCGTGACGGACTCTGGTGACGGTGTCACCCACACCGTCCCCATCTACGAAGGTTATTGTCTCCCCCACGCTATCCTTCGTGTTGACCTGGCTGGCCGTGACTTGACTGCCTACCTGATGAAGATCATGACTGAGCGTGGCTACTCCTTCACCACCACAGCTGAGCGAGAAATCGTTCGTGACATCAAGGAGAAACTTTGTTATGTTGCCCTCGACTTTGAAAGCGAAATGAATGTAGCTGCTGCCTCAGCATCACTTGAGAAGTCCTACGAACTTCCCGACGGTCAGGTCATCACCATCGGCAACGAACGTTTCCGTTGCCCCGAGTCTATGTTCCAGCCTTCCTTCCTGGGGATGGAATCTGTTGGTGTTCACGAGACCGTCTACAACTCCATCATGAGGTGCGACATTGATATCAGGAAGGACCTGTTCGCCAACAACGTCATGTCTGGAGGTACCACCATGTACCCTGGTATTGCTGACCGCATGCAGAAGGAACTTACTTCTCTGGCTCCTTCCACCATCAAGATCAAGATCATTGCTCCTCCCGAGCGTAAGTACTCCGTCTGGATCGGTGGCTCCATCCTGGCCTCTCTGTCCACCTTCCAGGCCATGTGGATCACCAAGGAGGAGTACGACGAGTCCGGTCCCGGTATTGTTCACCGCAAGTGCTTCTAAATTGCCACCTCGCTAAAGATCTGTTATTAAAATAAATTTTTTCTTGTGCCTAAATGTTTGATTTTTCAAGAACCTTAATATATAAAACTGAAATTACATTTTTTCTTGGTGAAAGAAAAGTTGGGTGTTCAAGAAAGATTAATCTTAAAATCATAACGAGAATAAAGTTTATCCTTTGTAATATTTAAAATGTAACACATAAGTAAAAATCGAATATATTATTTCTCATGTTAAAAAGATATTCTAAATCGCTGTTGATTCTCAATATGGTTATTCATAATCTACCCTATGGTAAATTAATGAACTTACTAACTTTTAGCCGGGAGCTCAAAGCTGCTGAACATTGAACCGATAAGAAAGCAGCGGTTCAAAACAGAAGGTTATCATTGGTGCAAGAAACATTGAAATAACAATAGCAACGCAAGTGCTTGTTCTCAGGCTGGTGGAACGTACTGCCACCTCCCTCAACTTAAAGCTGCTCTCGTATTGGCTGAATCTTCCAGCGATTTTTCCGTATTGGCCATACAGATGTTCACTTCAGTATATCACCAACAGGTGACGTAACAATGCACTTTTTGAGACGTGAGTTTACCTATAACTCTACATTAAATTTCAAAACTACAAAGAGCTTGGGATAATAATCGTCATTACTTCGAAATTATAGTTGTTACGGAAACTCTAGATATTATACACAGAAATATATGAACAAGAACAGTTACAAGAAGGTATACTATTACTAGGACTCACACACTACCACTTATGACTCACCCAACCCAGCTGGTACAACACAGCTTACACTCCAGTAATCAGCGATCAGAAATACATTCCCTAATACATCCATACAATTCATCTTATTCCGTTAAGAATCACCATATTATAAATTCATAATCCGGTGGAATTTAATGAGATTCGGGGGAAAATTATTCAGCAAAAACATTTATTCTCTCATCTTCAACTACAACTTATTTAACTCGTGTCTGTAGAATTAAACTATGTAATTTCACTTATGTGGTAGTAAAGGTGGAGGGGTCGTGGTAGGGTGGGTGGAGGGGTCGTGGTAGTGAAGGTGGAGGGGTTGTGGTAGTGAGGGTGGAGGGGTCGTCGTAGTGAAGGTGAAGGGGTCGTGGCAGTGAGGGTGGAGGGGTCGTGGTAGTGAGGGTGGAGGGGTCGTGGTAGTGAAGGTGCAGGGGTCGTGGTAGTGAAGGTGTAGGGGTCGTGGTAGTGAGGTGGAGGGTCGTGGAGGTCGTGGTAGTGAAGGTGGAGGGTCAGGTCGTGGTAGTGAGAGGGTCGTGGTAGTGAAGGTGAGAGGGTCGTGGTAGTGAAGGTGGAGTAGTGTGGAGGGGTCGTGGTAGTGTGGAGGGTCGTGGTGGAGGGTCCGTGGTGGTGAAGGTGGAGGTCGTGGTAGTGAAGGTGGAGAGGGTCGTGGTAGTGAAGGTGGAGGGGTCGTGGTGGTGGTGAATGGTAGGAGGTGGGGGTCGGTAGTGAGGTGGAGGGTCGTGGTAGTGAGGGTGAGGGTCGTGGTAGTGAGGAGGTCGTGGTAAGGTGGAGGGTCGTGGTAGTGAGGTGGTCGTGGTAGTGAAGGTAGTGAGGGTCGTGGTAGTGAAGGTGGAGGGGTCGTGGCAGTGAAGGTGAAGGGGTCGTGGTAATGAAGGTGGAGGGGTCGTGGTAGTGAGGGTGGAGGGGTTGTGGTAGTGAGGGTGGAGGGGTCGTGGTAGTAAGGGTGGAGGGGTCGTGGTAGGAGGTAAGGTGTAGAGGTGGAATGTTGAAGGTAAAGGACCACCAGGTAAGAGAGTCCTGTATATATAACTCACCTGCCATAACCACTAAAAATATATGTTGCGTTAGTGTCACTTCACAGTCCAGCCAATTACTCCTGTTCTTATCACCATAATATTTTCTCTACGCACCTATCTATATGCATATGGTCTGTATAGTATTTTTTCTAACTCGATAATTTCTACACAAAATTATTACGAACTGGTTCAAATATGTTAATGGCTGAGAACCCTGATAGAATATTTTCGACAGACAAATAGACTGATATGATAAGGAACAAAAATCCACTTACCAAAGAGGGTTTATTATTGTTATCATTAGGAAGAGCACTATTATTTTTTGTTTTCCTTATTCATCATCATTATTATCATTCTTATTATTATTATTATTATTATTATTATTATTATTATTAAAAAGAATGTGGTCAAACTGCTTCACCTCAGTAAATTTGTTAGTTGTCAATACCAGTTTGAACTACAGTTAAACATCATTGTGGTTTCTGTTATTAAATCATACTGACATGGTATTAGACTTTCGGTAATGAGCCTTGGAGTATCTGGTCCACGACGGAACTCTCTTGATATAATATTAGGAAATCAGAGTAAAATATCTGTGACAGTATACACTGCATACAGCCGCAGACACAACTACCTGCAGGCACCACGGTAACACATGCATACATTATTGAGAAGTACGAGTCACACTTCTCATCTGTGAACATGACAGATGGTGTGTGAAGGGGAAAAAAATAAAGAAATTTATGGTCGTGTACGACACTGACTTTGACAACTGAGACTCATTCAGGAGAGTGAACCTGTGTTTGTCCGACCATATGTTGATCGCGTTATCATCTCTACCTCATCTTAAATTAGATCACAGATGGTTAGCGAAGAACTTTAAAATATCACAACTTTTACTGGTGCTTGTCAAAGCACAGATGACAGAGCGTTAGGAATAAAGCGAATAACGCATGACTGTGTCATCCCATGACGTTATTTTGGAGTCTTATGCGAGAAGTCAGACACCAGGTGTTATATTTATAACGTAATGATTCATCCACCGACTCACAAATCTTCCCGCCCACTTATCTGTAAGGGAATGCCATAACCCTTTAAGAAATTACCTATAAAAGACAACCACTGTTAGCCGGATGTGAAAGAGGTATATAAGGGTGTCACTACTCCCTCGAGGCCTTAGTCCATCTCCGGTCGGGGTCAGGATACAACGAGGCTTGCGTGCGTTCAGTCTGTGTAGTGTGTGTTGAGTGCGTCTGTCTTGTCTTAATTGTCATTTAAGATATTTTCCTCACAGTCGTTTTTTTATGAAAACATTTCCAGATTTTGTGTTTCTATTGATGCTATTATTATATCGCAGTGAAGGCCGGCTGTGTTGTTGTCATGTTTAGCACGACAAAAAAAACTTCCGTCGTCACCTGTTTGGTGAATTTTAACAGTGTGTATTACTGATGTCACATCCTTTGTGCAGTGTATGGCTTGTGGGTGTCTAAATAGCTTTCACACTTTGCCTTAAGATTTCCTCAAACAAATTTTCCTTTTACTTCTGTTTCAACGACTGAATGTGTGTGTTAGTTGCTACAGTATATCTCAAGTTCAACTTATTTTGCCGGGTCAATTATCTGGGCTCGACCATTTGGGTTATAATACAGTTCGTCGCAAAAAAATCAGGGATATCTTAGCACCGCTTAATACATCTCAGGGTGACTATCATAAAGACATTGATTGACTGTGAGTGCTGTTCTCGTGTTCAGATGTGAAGATTCCCAGTCAATGACAATATCGTTGATAATCACCCGGATACATCGCTGGCTTCTTTATCTACGACGAATGTACAGCACGAACAACTGAGTATTCAATCCCACAATAAATAAAGAATTAAGAAGGCTCAGATGAAGAAGAGAAACATACTTACTAATTTGTGAATAAGGAATGTATTTTATGGATGGAGAAGTCACTAATTAACGCAGGGGTTGTGAGAATATTGCAGGATAAACAAGACTAGAGATTAGAGTAAACATTGTACATAGGAATCAGAATGGACACTAAGTTGAATGTACAGCATCTTGGGATTGCTGGTTATGAATCTTTGTGTGGTATAACGACTGAAACCTGGGATCAGTAAATGTACTCTGGGATCATTAAGTGAACTCTGGGATCAGTAAGTGAACTCTAGGATCAGTAAGTGAACTCTAGGATCAGTAAGTGAACTCTGGGATCAGTAAGTGAACTCTGGGATCAGTAAGTGAACTCTGGGATCAATAAGTGACTCTGGGATCAGTAAGTGAACTCTGGGATCAGTAAGTGAACTCTTGGATCAGTAAGTGTACTTTGGGTTTGGAGCAGTGAATATACTCTGGGGATAGTGAGTGTACTTAAGGGTCGGCACTCTGAGGTCAGTGGGTGTACTCTGGGGACAGTGGGTGTACTCTGGAGTCAGTGGGTGTACTCTGGGGTCAGTGGGTGTACTCTGGAGTCAGTGGGTGTACTCTGGAGTCAGTGGGTGTACTCTGGGGTCAGTGGGTGTACTCTGGGGTCAGTGGGTGTACTCTGGGGTCAGTGGGTGTACTCTGGAGTCAATGGGTGTACTCTGGGGTCAATAAATATAGTCTCAGTGTGTTCTAATTTAGGTTTAATTTATTTTCATTGTACTTATTTAGTTGTTCAGTCAAAGCAGTAAGATGGATTGATAACAAGAGTATATAGTTAAAACACAATACCCATTTTATGCTATTGAAACGTGACTTATCATAACCTCCGCCCCATTACCAGATGTCTAAAGACTCCATGCTCTAAATGTCACTCATTTTTTTTTACATAAGAATGTTTTAAGAAGTCTTGATTATTCTCTATCAAAGGAAGTTGTCATTTATGGTGGATTATGTTTGATTAAGTATTTACACAGGTGTCCAGAAACATACATGTATTCGTTTTCATTAATTAACATGATCCTAACGATTCGGTACATTTTTCAGTCAGACGACCTGAACCACTGCCACCATGTGTGACGACGACACTACAGCTCTGGTGTGCGACAATGGCTCTGGCATGGTCAAGGCTGGCTTCGCAGGCGACGACGCTCCCCGCGCCGTATTCCCCTCCATCGTCGGCCGTCCTCGTCACCAGGGTGTGATGGTCGGTATGGGTCAGAAGGACGCCTACGTCGGTGACGAGGCCCAGAGCAAGAGAGGTATCCTGACTCTCAAGTACCCCATCGAGCACGGCATCATCACCAACTGGGATGACATGGAGAAGATCT